CAAACAAAATGGAATGAGTATGCTTGAGGATGCAAAGGAATCACGATCAAAAACTATGTTAAAAAACTTGTCAAATAGTCCCTCCGCTTTTATTTACTCTCCATATATATTAGCTTTGTCTCTAGTAAAACTTTATAAACTTTGACCAACTCTATTTTCACATCATTACATTTGTTACTGTGAAGGTTTATATTATTTTTTACATTTTTTATCAAACTTTAGAAAGTTTGACTTAGGTAAAAGCTATATGAGGAGTAAATAAAAAATGGATGGAGTAGTATGAAATAATCTGAAAAACATGGACTTTATTTTGAGAAAAAACATGAACTAAGAAATCTTTGCGAAGTAGAAAAATAAAAAATTAAAAAATATTTTTTGTGGAAGAAAATTTGAATAAGAAAATATTTATGAAATATGATACACACTTGGGCCAATCCTTTAATTGCTTCTAGTGTTTCTCTTTTTGATGAGAAATGGAAAAGGTATGCTTCTCTAAGAACGGGGTCAAATGCATGTTGATATTTTCATTTCCCAACTTGGAATATGATAGTTCAGGTCTTTTTTGTTGTAAAACATCCTCTCCGCTTTCGCTATTTTGGTCCAACATGGTGATCACTTTTGCTCTATATTCAGCTAGGCCCGGTGACTCTCATTTTTAGCTTGTGCTCATGGAGTAAAAAACTTGCTATTCGGGGTGCAGAAGGGAACAAAATGCAATTGTCAAGATTCAATGTTCCCGTAAACAATTTCCCCTTTCTACCTCCATTGCGACCATACAATTTTGAAGATTTAATTTAATGGCATAGAAATATATTCATTGAAAATATATTCATTGAACAACAAAAGCCGCATGTTTTTCCTAGCACAAGCAGATGGCAGATGTTTTATTATTCAGTTTCGTTGTTAGAAGATTGAGCCATGACAAGACTGTACAACTTATTGAATTAAGTAGCTGCAAACATAAAAGTTAGCTCTAATGTCATGTGAGATTTGGAGTTTTAAGTAACATAAGATCACAATTTGCTTGTGCTAGGAACATCAAGATGTGGATTTATACTAGATGAAGTTCACAAATGTTTCGGTCTATCATAAGGTAAAAATACTACTCCTACAAACATAAATAAATAACACTTATATTTAGCATGTCCAGTTGACAACAACTAAACTTGTTTATATCAAACTGTAATAAAAAGATACTCCCTCCGTCGCAAAAAAAGTGTGTTTTATACAAAATCAAAGACACTTATTTTGGGACGGAGGGAGTAGTTGAGATCTCAGTTCTGTGAATTACAATACATTCGGATGATGAGCCATTGAATAAATAATAATGTAGAAATCTCACTGCAAAATCAAATCAACAAAACACCGGCCATTGCCGTGCGGCTGTGCATGCGTTTGAGAAAGGCACAGTTTTTCATCGGAACATTATTCACATATACATTATTTCATTAGCTTAGGTACCTACGCATGCTCTTGATGTCAAGGATCTTCTCGTACTCTTCGAGATCGTCATCATCACCAGTATCATAATCATCAACATCATATCTAAGGGAGTCCATATAATAATCAAAGTAAACCTCGACTAATTCTGGATCAGACCGCCAACAAGGATGATTTCCACAGGCAGGCGAATAGGGATGGTAGTAAGTACAACCAGCCAAGTACCCATAGTCCTCATAATAGTCGCTCGAGTACTCACGATCATCCATGTTGATCCGAGCAAGCTTCACTTGTAGGCTGTCATCAATGCAATAGGTTTGCACTCTCGCATGTTGAGGTCACTGGTAGAAAAAAGCCCTTTAGTCCCGGTTCGCAACAGCCTTTAGTCCCGGCTGTGCAACCGGGACTAAATAAGCGCGACTAAAGACCCCCCCTTTAGCCGCGGCTCTTACGGACCGCGACAAAAGTCTTTAGTCCCGGTTCTTGTGGCTAACCGCGACTAAAGGCCGCCACAGGTTTTTGAAAAAAAAATTGAATTTTTTTTTCAAATTTCTGAATTATTTTAACCTCTAGTCTCTAATCACCACCCCTCATCGCTTCTCAATTTATTCTTTTATCACCCCTCATCATTCCAAATCATCTAACTTCTCAACCGGTCACCCATCCCTCTCACTACTCCAGCCCAAGCACGCTTAACTTCCGGGTTCTATTCTCCCACGCTCCAAGTCTGCACTTGTTGTTTTCCTGACAATAATAAGATGTCAATCCTATTAACCTTCAGGAATTTTGCTTGAGCATGAAGTGACACATTTCACTGTTTGAGTTTGAAACTATTGTTTTAAAAAACAATAATTATTTAGTAACACTAATATTTCTTGAATAATTAGTTTGACCATTGTTTGACCACAGTTTGACCACAGTTGACCACAGTTTGACCAGATTTGACCAAAATTGAAATAATTAAAATAATTATTTAGTAACACTAATATTCTAGAATAATTAGTTTGACCATTGTTTGACCATAGTTTGCCCACTGTTTGAATATTTTTCAATTTTTTCCACTCTAGATCTTACAAGCCCCGTAACTTTTTTCTATTAGGTTTTTGAGGATTTTGAAAATGTTTAACGGGGTTCCCCCGGTTAAATTTGGATGTAACTTGTCGAGTAGATGATTTTTCATATAAAAAACTTTTTCATCCGAGTTAGTATGCAAAAGTTATGCCCATTTTTACAAATTTCAGAGAGATTTTGCAAATAAAGTCAAAATTCACTTTTGCAAATTTTCCCAACAACTAGACCACATATCACATGAGAAACTTATTTTCTTTTATTTTTTTGACATTTCCATTATTTTCTTTTATTTTTTTTAAAACTGAAAAGGCGATCCCGGGGGGGCGGGGTAGAGTTTGAAAATGGGACCTTTAGTACCGGTTCGTGGCACGAACCGGGACTAAAGGTCTCAACCCCATTAGTTCCGGTTCGTGCAACAAACCGGGACTAAAAGGGAGGAGCTTTAGTCGCGGTTGGCCTGGCCAACCGCGACTAAAGGCCTTTGGGCACCTTTAGTCGCGGTTGGCCTGGCCAACCGCGACTAAAGCCCGCGAGCGCCCTGGGCCCAGGCATTTGGTCGCGGTTCATCTGCCGAACCGCGACTAAAGACTTCATTAGTCGCGGTTCCTACAGTTTCGCGACTAATGGGGCTGGACGGAAGCCTTTTTTTCTATCAGTGGGTACTCTAGATCATGGCAGTTGTCAAGGATGGCTACCAGTCCTTCACTGTGGAAGGTATGGCCGACAAGATGCAAGGAACGTAGCTTGTGCATACTTGCAGCCGCAAATGCTACTGCATTACCATTTGCGAAGTGCATTCCCGCAACATGTCGGAAGTGCTTCAGCAATGGGCATTCTCTAGCAACAAGTTCAAACACCTTCATACTATGTATGCTTAAACACTGGGAAATCTCGAGCTCCTCAAGCAGGGGTAACATCTTGATCGCCTTTTCAAATCCTTGATCGGAGACAGATGAGCTAATGAGATGAAGGCTCTTTAGCGAGGGTGCCCTGCAACGTAACATGAGATACGATAATTATTCGAATAATTAAGTAGGCCACTAATTCAAAATTGATGGAGCGACCTTTCCTAGTTCAAATAAATTTGTAACAATTCTCAGAAAATGGCGATAACTGAAGGGAGCAAGAAAGAAGAACCCTGCTTGTGGAAAACCTAGGAACAGGACACAGTTTGCAGATGATTTATAGTATACTAGGGTTTAGGGTTTAGGATAGAACAAAATCTTACCGCTCGGCGAGGATGAGGAGGATGTCGTCGTCGACGCGCTCGCACAGGAAGGCCTCGCACTGGCCGGCGCCGAGCCGCAGGGCCTTCCGCACCATGGTCTCGAGGCTCCACTCGCGGCGGAACGGCGGGACGAACCACAGGCCGCCGCGCAGGTCGATGCGGCGCCCCAGCTCCGGCTCCTCCCGGGCGGCGCGGCGCCATGAACGGCACACGCCCGCCACGCCGCCGATCAGGAGCTCGGCCTGGTCCAGCCTGTGGAGGATGCACGAGATCAGGTCCTGGTGCAGCTCCGCCCAGTCCCTCTCCGGCGGCGCCCTTTTCTTGGAATACCGGCTTCGCTGTGATGCCCTCGCCAGCGGCGGCATCGCGATCGCGATCCCGCAGGGCGCCGTTAACGACGACTGAGCTGGCCTCGCACAGTCGCACTGGCTTCGATCGATAGGTCGGTTGCTCGTTAGCGTGACCCCGTCACGGCCCGTTTGTGATGGGATGGGCCCACATGTTGAGCTCTCGACTGGGCTTTCTCGAGAGAGCAATTCTCAAAAAAAAAAAACTAGTTATTTGCTCAAAATAAACCTGGTTAGTATTTTCTTGTGATCCTGATGCAATTCCAATGAACATAGTTATAGATCAATAAAGGTCGTGGCCGTTTTGTTCTCAAAAACAAATGAAAGAAAATACCCTTGCGAGAGACCTTCGGGGTCATAGTTTTGTTTCTTTTATGAAAAGGAGGATTACCCCCCATCCTTCGCATCAATTGATGCACACAACCATTGGGGACACTTTAGATTCTCTGAGAGCAAGCCAAGGGGTGCCTCTATCCGCCGCCACATGTCGCGTGCTGCACTCCCACTAAATTTCATTTTTCTTTTCGTACGTGTTTTTCGGGTTTTAGATGAGTTTTTCTTTTACCTTTTTGGTTTTCTCTAGGTTTTGGAGAAAAAATAGTGAACTTTTTTGTGCGCAGAAAAAAATTGTGCTTCCATGAGAAGCAGAGATATTGATTTGCTTCTTGTGAAGGCATAGATTTGCTTCCACGCCAAAAAAATGTGCTTCCATAAGAAGCACATATTTGCTTCCGCGAGAAGTATGGTTGTGTTTCTCCAAAAAAAATGTGCTACCACACGAATCACAATTTTGATTTCGCGAAAAACAAAATTGCGCTTCTCGGACAGGTAAAAAAATTGTGCTTCCACGAAAAGCACAGATTTGCTTCTCGTGGAGGCATAGATTTGCTTCCGTGGGAAGTACATCTCTGTGCTTCTCGAAAAGGTAAAAGAATTTGAGATTTGTGCTTCTCGTGGAGGCACATATTTACTTCCGCGAGAAGTACAAAAAGGGGGAAAAGGTAAAAATAAACTTTTAGCTCCGGGTGTTTTCTTTTGCGTTTTCTCGTTAAAAAATATTTTTTTGAAACTAATTAACGTGGGATCTTTTTAGGATCTCGGCGCAAGAAATCCAATGATGAAAGTGGTTCGGGGTTTGGACATACGGTTCAAGAGAAAACGTTTGAATAAATGGCTATGAAAAAAAAGAAAAACTCCGAGATTGTGACGCCTGAGAAGGTGGGAGTGACATTTTCAAGGGTAACCCTTAACTAGTGATTTTGCTTTTTCGAGGGGTAATTCCCCTCTAGTTGTTCTCGGCTCCTTCTTTATGTAACTTCAGATATATAAATATATATATATATATATATTGACACACATAGGTACCACTTCAACCGCACCCATATCCATCCCCTCTCGTTAGGGTTAGACATACTCCCAGCAGCACCAAGCGGCGCTATTGAGCTCTCCCCTCCCCACCTCTCTTCTCCATCGGGAATGGCTCAAGCAAACAAAGGGATGATCCCTGGATCATTTCCTAGCTTTGCCACATGTGTTCGGCGAATGGCTTTTGGTTTTACGCCCCGCGGTCCAATCTCACCAGGCTAGGATTTCAAGATGGAGATAGGCGATCCGAGTTCGAGCACGATTTCTGGTGATATCAAGGCAATGATGAAGGCACGGGGGATCTCAGAGGAGGATATCGATTACGTCATGGTGGAGGAAGAGGAAGCAATATCGGAGGATGCAATCCGTTGGGTGGCCATAGCAAGGGTGCACATGGTGAAGCCTTATGGCCAATATTGGTTTTACAGAAACATGAGGGTCACATGGGACTTGGACAAGGAAGTAAAGATGACTGTTGAGTGACAATTTGTACACTCTCCAATTCATGTGCTTGAGTGACTAGGAAAGAATGATGGAGGAGGGGCCATGGACTTTGTGATGGATGTTGTCTCCCTATGATGGTCTCACCAAACCATCCTCCTTTGTCCTTGACACCCTGGAATTTGGATGCAAATCCATGATCTTCCAGATGGGTATTTCCATTGATCAAATCCCTAGCAGGGAAGGTAGGGGAATTTGTGTATGCTGAGCCAAAGTCACATGATTTTAAAGGAAATTTCTTCAGGTTGCGTGTCAAGGTCAACGTAAACAAGCCACTCATGGATGAGGTGACACTTGTCAATGGGAAAATGCATGTGGCATTTCTGGTGAATAGTGTGCTTCTACTGGGTCATGTGTACAAGGAGTGTGGTGAGGTACCTCACCTTCCCGTAGCTCTAGTTTTTACAAACTTGTGCACCTCTTGGTTTAGAGGTGTTGGTCGTGGCTTAGGCGGCGGCAAAGGCCGACGACATGGATGTGGTGGTGGATGCTCTGGTCCTGGTGCAGGGAGGAACTCCAAGGATGGTGGTCCAGATGAGTTTATGGATGGTTACGAGGACCTTGATGCAACCATGTAAAGCCGATCACAACAAAAAATGCACATCTGAACTTGCAACTCCAATAGACCGTGCATCTACTACTACGGCTGCAGCAAGACTTGATAATGGTGTGACTAAGGCTAGCATCCTAGCTCTTCCACCGCCAAAGATACCCTAGAGCCTCTCTTCAAAGCGTGATCTCAAGAGAACAAAGACAGGTATGAGTGCGGACAAGAGTGCACCAAAAATAGCATCTCAAGGCAAGACTAGTGAAGCAAAGTTGGTGACCTCCCATGAGGAGAGCCGTCGATCCCAATGAGTGTCCCCTGCTGGAAGCGGTGTGGGCAAGCCAACCACAGTTCGAGGGCTTCATGACCTAGCAATTTGCCCCAACGGTATTATGCATTGTAGAAACGCAAATTTCAAAAACATGCGTCAAAGGTTTAGCCGGTACGTTAGGCTTTGATAAATTATATGTTGTTAATAGTAATGGCCTAAGTGGAGGCCTAGGGTTGTTTTGGAAAAATGATATAAACATTGAGGTTCTTGGTTACATAGAGCATCACATAGATTCTAAAGTCTCCATCGGAGGTGACATAGACTGGAGACTCGCCTATTTCTACGGAGAGGCTCGGACTAGTGCAAGGTATAGAACATGGGATCTAATGAAATTGTTGGTTACAACCATCTGTTTAGCTTGGTTATGTGTCGGTGATTTCAATGAGGTTTTGAGAACTGATGTACATGTTGGTATTGGTCAAAGATGTGCAAGCCAGATCGTCGGCTTCAGAGATGCGGTCGACGTGTGTGGTCTCATGGACCTCGGATACCAAGGGAGGAGCTAGAAGTTCGAGAAACAAACCGTTGGTGGCTCGTTTTGCCACATATGCATGGACTGGGCGTTAGCTAACCCTTCATGGATTAGTCGTTTTCCCCTGGAGTTTCTTAGCCAAGGTACTATAGTGTCATCGTTCACTCTACAATCCAGAGGGAAGAGGGGTCAAGCGATGTCTAGGTATGAACTTTACTGGGAGAAGCACGAAAGCTTCCATGAATCTCTCGGTCCACAGTGGAATGACATGTCCAAAGCAACATCAGCCATTGAGACGAGTAATACATTACTGCAGATATCTAGACATGTTCATCATTTGTTAGGACTAATACCTCTAGAATCCAGTTGTGTTAGGACTAGTACCTCTAGAATGAGTCCATCACATGGAGATAGCAAGACGTGAGACAGTTGTGAGTCCATTTAGTGATTTGGTACGGGTAGTAGAAATGTTCCACGCCTTTTTCCCGAGTGTGACCCTGAGTTATCGAACCAATGAGACGACATGCACTATAACAACAATTTCTATCAAGCTTTTGCGAGCGAGTTAAATTCTAGTTTTTAGAGACACGATCATTAACACTGATGAACGTAAACATTAGAATTAAAGTAGGCATGGGTACGAGGACTTGATTCTTATAACCATATGTTTGTGATCGGGATCATCCTGATCTTAATTTATGCAATGGAAGACACCTGTTAAGATGTGCTACCTCTTGATCTTGCATTGGTTTTCCCTTAAAGAGGAAAGGGTGATGCAGCAAAGTAGCGTAAGTATTTCCCTCAGTTTGGAGAACCAAAGTATCAATCCAGTAGGAGACGACGCACAAGTCACCGAATACCTGCACAAACAATCAGAAACTTGCACCCAACGTGATAAAGGGGTTGTCAATCCCTTCACGGTCACTTGCAAAGTGAGATCTGATTGAGATAGATAAATGGTAAAGTAAATATTTTTGGTATTTTTGGTTTATAGATAGGAAAGTAAAGATTGCAAAATAATAGATCAGAAACTAGCAAGATGTAAACGAGATTCAAAAATATGCAAATGAGATCCGGGGGCCATAGATTTCAGTAGTGGCTTCTCTCAAGATAGCAAATATTACACTGGACAAATTACTGCCAAGCAATTGATAGAAAAGCGCATAGTTATGACGATATCTAAGGCAATGATCATGAACATAGGCATCACATCCGTGTCAAGTAGACCGACTCCTGCCTGCATCTACTACTATTACTTCACACATCGACCGCTATCCAGCATGCATCTAGAGTATTAAGTTCATAAAGAACGGAGTAACGCATTAAGCAAGATGAAATGATGCAGAGGAATTAACTCAAGCAATATGATGAAAATCCCATCTTGTTATCCTCAATGGCAACAATACAATACGTGCCTTGCTGCCCCTACTATCACTGGGAAAGGACATCGCAAGATTGAACCCCAACCTAAGAACTTCTCCCATGCAAGAAAGATCAATCTAGTAGGCCAAACTAAACCGATAATTTGAAGAGACTTGCAAAGATATCAAATCATGCATATAAGAATTCAGAGAAGAACCAAATAATATTCATAGATAATCTTGATCATAAATCCACAATTCATCGTGTGACGCCCCCGATTCAATCGTACACTAATCATACACGCAAACATGTACGATCAAGATCAGGGACTCACGGGAAGATATCACAACACAACTCTACAAATAAGATAAGTCATACAAGCATCATAATACAAGCCAGGGGCCTCAAGGGCTCGAATACAAGTGCTCGATCATAGACGA